GAAATGCAGTATCTAATAATACATACTGGCAGTTGCGCAGTCGGAAAACCTGCCGCACGCCCTAGCCGAGAGTCCTAACATGGACCCCCTTGCCCAAAAATTAATAACACACACACACACAACGTTCAGGATCACACATAACAAAAGATTTTCGTTTTGTCGTTTTGGGACAATTTTTCCATTTGAGAAAGAAGCTATAGAGATGAGGAGAGTTTTGTCACTTGAACTATTCAAAGTTTTCAGGCGTTAGTTTCACAGCCGCAGCAAACACACAAAAAGAAATGGCAGCGCGCCCCCGGGGCGAGCTGGCATGTTCGATCGGCCTGACCGCATTGAAGCCCTGATCCGGATGCCCGATTGACCTCGCCCCTTGGAACGCGGCTTCCGGTTTTGCACACACTGAGACGACTCGGGTTGCCATTGACATGTGAATCCCATAACAAGACACGCCTGTTTATTTGTTTGTTGGGAACAACAAAGCTCTTCGCTGTGTAGTAAGAAGTAAGAAGGCCCGTTGTTGAGACGACTTGTGCAAAACGGCAGTCGGGCCAGCCATCTGGTCAAGAAGCTCGCACAACACTCTCGACACTTTCAGGCGTCAGCAGACCCTACGCTACCCCGGAGGAACAGACGAAAGGCGATGCATTGCTTGTAAAGACGAACGTTAGGGACGGCCGAAGAGAAACACTATCAAGGCAGTTATGGAAAACAGACAGAACAGTCAGAGACTCGGCCACCGAGCCATCGAGCCACCGAGCCACCGAGTCACCGAGCCACCGAGCCACCGAGCCACCGGCATGGGTAAACAGCGAAACAAACAAAGATGCGAACGCGACCGAGAGACAGACAGACAGACAGACAGACAGACAGACAGACAGACAGAGCGTCGACGAGCATAAACAGAGACGGAAAGAGATAGAGAAGAGACAGAGAGACAGAGAGACAGACACACAGACACACAGACACACAGACACACAGACACACAGACACAGACAGAGACAGAGACAGAGACACACAGAGACAGACTTGCTTTCGCTCTCTCTCTCTCTCTCTCTCTCTATTCATCTCTCTGACCAATTATTCATCTGATCTCTCTATCTCTCATTTCCCTTGGGCCGAGAAATCACCGCCTGCCACCCCACTTCAAGTGTTTCGTTTTGTACGCCGGGGGCTGCTGATGCCGTGCTTGCAGGGTGAATCGGGAATTGGACGACTGTGATTGCATAGCAATCACGTCTTGTTTGACAAGTTGTCGATCTGCTAGGGCCACGGCCGATATACGCTGCCGTTTGTTGCAGACAGCCGCCGCCACCCATCTGCACCCCGCTCGCCTTCCAGACGCACCGCCGCCATGTCCGGCCTCAGGCGGCGCGGGTGCTTCCCGTTGAGCCACGGGTTTGCCTTTCTGCTGTGGCTTGGCATCGTAGCCACCGCAATGCTCAGCCTTGCGCATGGTTTGTAAAGAACAACCCCCCTGCTTGTCATGCTTCCTCGACAAAGACCAAAAATGATCAGGCCCAATCTGATGCTGCCTCGTGTCACCCTGACGCCTGGACTTGATAGGGGCCGTATCTGATGGCTTGAGCCATCCTACTTGTGCCACTTGCAGTTGCTATGCCGCTGCCACAGAATTTTACGTTGACTGCACCGGGGTTGGGCTCACAGCAATTCCTGACCTTCCGACCAACGCCACCGTCGTCACTCTTCGACGCAACTTCATTCAGGTCGTCGGTGAAGGGGCCTTTGACGCCGTGCCCAGCCTTCGCTACCTGCATCTGCAAAGCAACGGCCTCACCAACATGGAAGCCGGCGCCCTCCGAGGCCTCACCTTGCTTCAGGCCCTTAACCTGGCCGACAACGCGCTTGGTACCTTTGCCCTTGATGACCTCGCCGCCTCTGCCGCCGCTTTAACCGAACTGTACGTTTCATTCCAGCCCTGGCCTCACCTGTCAACCCCAAACCCATGCCGAACACATGTCGTCATTCACCTTGATTGTCTGTCTGCTCATTTTCCTTGGTCCTGTCTGCAGCGATCTGAGCTCCAACAGCTTGTCGGTGTTTGATGGTAGCGTGAGCAGCCATGCCACCAACCTTGAAACATTGTACGAAATGTGGTCTTTCTCCCCTTGCGCGTGGCGTTTATGTATCTCCGCCATTTCTTACCCGTGTGCTGCCAAATGCCCATGTCCATCCATGCCGCCTGATTTCTTCAAGGATTTTACGAGGCAATGACATTGTTTCCGTGACCAATCTGGCCAGCCTAACCCATTTGCAACATTTGTGAGTTAATAACAGCCGCATTTTCCAAGTCCCAGCCTTTCACGCCCCCCCTTCCCTAAACCCAGTTGCTCGTGTCTTCGAACCTCGCTTCCTCACTCGACCGTGTTTGTGTCATACCGCAGAGACCTAAGTTCCAACCGGCTCACGAGCGTGTCAGCCACTCTAGTCAACGCTCTCCCCGAATTACGGCAGCTCTGGCTACAAGACAATGCCATCACGCGCCTTGATACAACGCCCTTTGTAGCGCAAACCCATCTTGAAAAACTGTGCGTGGACCTTCCATTTCGCGTCGCTCACAGTAACGCGAGGGCAATGCTCTAACGAGAACTTTTCTTCTTTTTGCTGTTCGTCTCGACGCCATTCCCACAGATCTCTGGCCTCCAACCTCTTGACGCAATTGCCAACCAGCATGCTTGCCGCTACGACGGCTCTCAATAGCTTGTTCGTAGCCAAACATCCATTTTGTTCCATTGCAACTTTCCTGCCGCAGACCAACAACAGCCATCGCCGTGTCCCTCATCAATCCTGTTGTTCTGTGGTAGGGATATTTCTGAAAATAGCCTGACGAGCATCGGGCAGACGCTGCTGGCGGGCCTATCGCAGCTTGCATCTCTGTAAGCGACTCAGTGTGCCACCATGCTCCACATCCTGGACAACAGATGTTGTTGCTCATCTCAGTATGCCGACAGGTCGTTTGCCAACAATGAGATTGTCAGCTTTCCCTCCCTTCCCACTTCCATCAATGCGACCTGGGTCTCCGGCAACCCTTTTGACTGTTGCGGCATGGAGTCCCTGGTGGGCACAAGTTATATCATGGATCTGGCAGAAATCACGTGCAATCGTCCTCAAAATGCGGCAGGCCTCAAGCTAGTTGAAGTTGCCACCCCAATCACCGTCTGCAATACGAGTACGTGCAGCGTGCCCGGACACATCTACCATTCTCATTTTCACCGCCTCAAGCCATGCTATCATATTTAACACACAATTGTTCGTGTCCCGCTGACTATTGCTGTGCACCCTTCTCCCGGCAGCTTTACCTGACCAGCCTCCGGCGGCCTCGGTCGTATCGATTGCAGCAACCACGATGCAGGCGCAGTTGCACGTTGTCCATGGAAATGCTTTTGAGCCCGTCTTCTATACAGCCTCCTACACCGGACCTGGTGGTGCTGTGACCAACACCACCTGCCCCGCTGGCTATGCGCCTGTCCTCTATACGGACCGTCTGCTGCCAGATGCCCCTTGGTGAGCCGTACTTTTTCGGTGATCGTTCCTGCGATATCAAACCGTTTGAATTTGTGGTTTTGTTTATTTTTCATCCTCCACCCAGTGACGAGTTGTGCTGATCGAGAAGCATGTCCTTGACCATGTTTGCGTGGTGTTGTGATTATGGGTTTTTTTTTTTTTTTTTTGGGGGGGGGGGGGGGGGAAAACCCGT